AAAGACATTACAAAGAAATAAAACTACAGGCCAATATCCCTGATGAACATAGATGCCAAAATCCTGAACAAAATACTAGCAAATCGAATCCAGCAATACATCAAAAAAATTATTCACCATGACCAAGTGGGATTCAAGGGATGCAAGGCTGGTACAATATTCACAAATCAATAAATGTGATATACCACATAAACAAAATGAAAGATAAAAATCGTACGATCATATTAATAGATGCTGAGAAAGCATTTGACAAAATCCAGCATCTATTTCTGATAAAAACGCTCAGCAATGTGGGAATAGAGGGATCATATCTCGACATAATAAAGGCTATATATGAAAGACCTATAGCCAACATTTCCCTTAAGAACAAGAACAAGACAAGGTGCGCACTTTCACCACTCTTTTTTAACATAGTACTAGAAGCCGTAGCCATAGCAATCAGACAGGAAGAAAAAATAAAAGGGATCCAAATTGAAAAGGAGAAAGTGAAACTGTCATTATTCACAGATGACATGATACTAAACATAGAAAACCCCAAAGACTCCATCAAAAATTTACTAGGCTTAATAAATAAATTTGGCAAAGTAGCAGGATACAAAATTAACATCAAGAAACTGACGGCATTCTTATACACCAATGATGAACTCACAAAAGGAAACTAAAAAAACAATCCCATTTACCATTGCGGCAAAAAAATTAAGATACTTAGGAATAAACTTAACCAAAGAAGTAAAGGACCTATTCGCAGAAAACTACAGGTCATTGAAAAAAGAAATAGAGGAAGATATAAAACCGTGGAAGCACATACCCTGTTCATGGATTGGAAGAAGTAACATCATTAAAATGTCCATATTACCCAAAGCAATCTTTAGATTCAACACAATCCCCATCAAAATACCAATGGTATACTTCACAGAATTAGAACAAATACTTCAAAAGTTCATATGGAACCAAAAAAGACCTCAAATAGCCACAGAAATCTTGAAAAGGAAGAACAAAGTTGGAGGGATCACATTACCAGATCTCAGGCTATACTACGATGCCACTGTAATCAAAACAGCATGGTACTGGCACAAGAACAGGCAGATAGATCAATGGAACAGAACAGAGAAAACAGAAAAGGACCCAAGACAATTTGCTCAATTAATATTAGACAAAGGTGGCAAGAGCATACAGTGGAGTAAAGACAGCCTCTTTAATAAATGGTGTTGGGAAAATTGGACAGCTACATGCAAAAAAATGAAACTAGACCATCAACTTATACCCTACACAAGAATAAACTCAAAATAAATAAAAGACTGAAATGTGACTCATGAATCCATAAAAATCCTAGAAGAAACTCTAGGCAACAAAATTTCAGACATCATACACAGCAAAATTTTCACTGATACATCACCTAAGGCAACAGAAACAAAGAAAAAAAAATGAACACATGGGACTACATCAAACTCAAAAGCTTCTGCACAGCAAAAGATACAGTCATCAAAATGAAAAGGCAACCCACTGTATGGGAGAGCATAACTACCAATGATATATCAGATAAAGGCTTAATTTCCAATATATATAAAGTGCTCATACAACTAAACAAAAAGAAGACAAAGAACCCAATTAAAAAATGGGTAGAGGAACTAAATAGACACCTCTCCAAACAGGACATTCAAATGGCTAAGAAACATATAAAGAAATGCTCAACATCACTAATTATCAGAGAGATGCAAATTAAAACAACAATGAGGTATCACCTCACACCTGTCAGAATGGCCGCCATCAACAAATCATCAAACAACAAGTGTTGACGAGGGTGTGGAGAAAAGGGGACTCTGGTACACTGTTGGTGGAATGCAGACTGGTACAGCCACTATGGAAAACAATATGGTTACCTCAAACAATTATAAATTGAACTGCCATTTGACCCAGTGATCTCACCCACTTCTAGGAATATACCCTAAGAAGCCTAAAACACCAATCAGAAAGAATATATGTACCCCCATGTTCATAGCAGCACTATTTACAATCACTAAGATCTGGAAACAGCCCTAATGTCCATCAGTAGATGAATGGATAACAAAGCTGTGGTACATATACACAATGGAGTACTATGCAGCTGTAAGAAAGAAAGATCTCTTATCCTTTGAGATGACATGGAGGGACCTGAAAAGTATTATCCTAAGCGAAACAAGCCAAACAGAGAAAGACAAGTATCATATGATCTCACTTATTTGTGGAATATAATGAACATAACAGTCTGAGTAATGGGTAGTCCCAGAGATGTGGAAGTGGGGTACAGACTGACAATCCCCAGAAGAGGGAGTGGTGGGGGAGAGATAAACCACAGAACTTATATGCATGTATGCATGAACAATGGACATGGACAACAAAGCTGGGGACAGGGCGGGGAGGGTGGGGGAGTGGGGAAAGGGAGGGGGAATCAGTGGGGGAAAAAAGAGAAACATCTGTAACAAAAATAAATTAATTAAAAAATAAAATAAATAAATAAATAAATGAAAAAAATACATTGCTCCAAGTTTTGGACTACTAACAACTCCCCAAACCCAAAATCAATCTCTCTAAGGTTATGTTTAGAAACCCAAATAAGTTATTTTAAAGATATACTTCACCCTCATAAAGTCCCATCACTTGCTCTAACTCATTATAGAACACAGATTTCAAATCAGAGCTTTTCCAGTCCCTTCTTTCTCCTTAACTGGGTGTAGATCAGAGAATCGTGAAATCGGGATTGACAAGGTCCTCAAATGTAATTCAGTCCACTTGCCTCTCTGAGGCTAGAATTGAGAAATACAGCCATCTGGCCAAGAAGCCATCAGTTCATTCTTGTAGTCCCAGGAGTCCTACTTTGTTCTAAAACATCACTATTTGAAAATGACTCCTTATGCTGAATTTACCTCTACCTTCCTACAACTTCCTCTGCTAGTGGCTTCTTTCCCGCCACCCCATTTCCGAGGATATAAAGCATGGCCTCCACAATCTTCTGTGAGAAGGGTGGGAAAGTGAAATAAACTGTGCTTCTTATGACAGTGAAACATGGATCAACACAGGGCTGGCAAAAGTGGGTTTATAGCTGTTTGTATGGAAAATAATACAAGAATTAATGAATAAGAATAGAAGAATAAACTCTGTATTTCGTATATTCATAGCTATAGACCTACTTTTCCCGACTCCTGTATATTTAAAGTGCTTCTGCGATTCATTCACCCTATGAAAACCGCTGACTAGACTCCCACCACATGTGGCAGGCACGTGTGGACCGATCTGCTCTAAAACCCAGGCCATGTGTGCCACACATGAAACCAACACTGCGCAGCTATGGTTACATTGCCTCTGGGAGAGAGTCCGCCACCTCTCAGGGCACCTAAACTCAGGACACAGAGGCCTGTGTCACTGCTGATCGAGAACCAGAGTCCTTATGTATTAAGACACTGTATCAGAAAAGCAGATGGAGATTTGAAATATGAATGTAGATTAAAAAATCACAAGGGCAAACGTACTCCAAATTGTAGGCACTGATTTGTAATCAAGTTCTTTTGAAATTGCTTTGTACATGGGCAGTGCACAACCAGGGCCGGTGGCAACCAGGATTCACTTTTGAAGGATGGTTAATAATTTCCCTGGGGATCAGCTAGTAAGATAATATATGTGGAAATGTTCCATAAACTCTAAAACACTGTAAAATTGGATGCTGCATACTCACGATATTTCAGACTCTGAGGGCTCACCATGAGCTTATACTTACTTGTAGCTGCCAAGTGTGCTATGCATTTTTAATACCACATATAAGTGAGTAAAAAAATAAAAGTCCTGACACCAAAAGCTTGGTCTTGTAAAAAAGTTCTTTACCTGGCTTTAGGTATATAAAAAATGATACTATAGCAAAATTGCATGAATTTATGGCTCACATAAAGTGGGGGGGAAATCATAAGACAGGAAAATGTCCAAAGAAAACAGGCATAAGTAGCAGTGGGAGAGTTTTTGCTGCAACTAAAGAGAGTCCATATTGCCTGTAGGCTGACAAGATGGCAGTTCAGAACCATAGTAGGGAGGGGTAATGTGGACACAGCCACATGCCTGGGAAGTTGGATGGGATTCTATCAAAAAACGGGAAAGAGCGAGATGCCGTCAAAGGCACTTCCTCTCCCAAATTATTAGCTGATGTAAAACCAGTAACAATGGAAAAATTGAGAGGGAAGAAGATACTAATGAGTCTTCCCAGAAACTAGACAAGCGGCTTTCTTCTTAAGTCAGACACAATCACGTACAAATTAATACTAGGTTATTCTGTGCCTATAAAAAAAAAAAATAGCTCATTCATCTCACTAGCTTCCATGTGCTCCTTATACAATATAACTTAGTGGTTAAGGGCTGGGCTGTGGAACCAGACTTCCCAAGTTCGAACACTGGCTCTGTCACCTGCTCAGTAACCTTCGGTAATTTACTTAATTTGAACCTCTATTTCCTTATCCGCTAACGGAGTCGTTCATTATGAGGAAAAAGTAAATTAGTGAGTGTGAAGTCCCTAGAACTGCGTGTTGCCAGTAGAAGTGCTATATAACACACGTTTACCATCCTTCGGTCTACGGGCCTGACAGCCAGGCCCAGGCTCTGGGAAAGAAGTGTCTGAGAGCAGGAATCAATTAAAACTGCCTATCACACTCCTCTTGGGTTTCAAAGTTCTATGTTTACATTTTGTTTTATTTTATTTCTTTTTTTCCAAAATGAAAGCAAGAAGTTCCACTTTCTTCTGCCAAGGAACAATGAATCTGTCCACTCCGTGGCTGTGGTTTCCATGAGAAAGTAAGTGGAAACAGATGTTTCTGAAAAATGAAAACCATACTATATACCTTTGGGGTCTGTCACTCACATAAAACTTTCTACCAGCCATCCCCAGAGCCAACTGCCAGCCTTCTGCAGCTGTGACCTGCCTGGGTGCCTGGACCCAGACGCCTTTTTTTCTATTTTCTACCCCAATCCGAAAACTTGCCAACCTTCAATGAAATCCGAGGTGGTGTAAGAATGTTGATTTGGGCTGCTCTCCGCAGGGCTGTTGAGGGTCTCCAGGGCTGATTCGATCGCTTCTACCAACTCATCCCGCTTGTCTTTCCGCACGGGTTTCTCCTCCGGGTGGCGGGTCAGGCCCATCTCCAGCTGGTACACCTTCTGCAGGGTGAAACTATCAAAAGGCACTGCGGCATACTCGGTGGCCAGCTTGACACCAGCATGCACCTCCGCCTTGTCCACCTGCGAGTGCAGGAAGGCCAGCAGGTCAGCCTGGGCTTTCTCAGGGGCACCCTGGTCAGGGCCCAGGACCGCGGCATCGCTGGCATGGTACTGGGCATTCTTCAGCTGCTCGCTCCTCTCCTGCAGCTCCTCCTTGAGCTGTGCAATCTGCCTCTTGAGGCTGCTGATGTAGTTGCGGTGCTGCTCCTCCCACTCCTGCAGAACAGCCTGGTACCCTTCTTTCCCTGTGGGGCTGTTGGCCCTGGGCAGCCCCAACTGCTCCTCATTGCCTTTGGGAGTGCAAGCCAGCATGTAGAGGACGGAGATGGCACAGCAGAGAAGCACAAGCAAAATCACCACCCGAGAGATCCACGCAAGCAGCCCCCGGCGCACCATCATCATTCAGGTATCAGCCATGCGTCCAGAACTGGCGACATCCCAGAACGTCAGGGCCCCACAGAAGGGCTTGCCCTGGACTAGACGACAGGAAGCATGTGATGGGGGCCCCCTGAGCTGTCTTCATCCATTTCTTTCTACAATTTGTGTTGTCTCTTGGAATCAATCACCACGTGGAGCACTTTTCCAACTTCTAAAGGACAGTCTTCCAGGCAGAAGCAACAAGTTATCGGAGAACTCCAAATTTTCACATTCATACCCATCATAGTCTTCTAAATGTGCAGCAGATGACAAAAGGGGACCTGGGAAGAGACAATAACATTTAATCAATATAACAACACCCTTAGGCTCACAATGGCAATCAATGTTCAGTAGACCATATGCATTTGCAGAGTAATGCATATAAATAACAAAGGATATAGTAAAAATACTGGAAGGAAATATGGCAAAATGTGAATTCGCTTTGGGTAGAAGAATTAATAGTGATTTTTCTGTTTCTCTACATTTTTCTATAGCTTGTAAATTTTCTAAATGGCACATATTTTGATGATTAAAAGGGGAACAGCGAAGCTTTAGTGACACTGAAGATTGCAGGCAGGGACTTCTCCAGCCAGGTCTGCCCAGAAAGGGAGGCTGCAAAGGTGAGGCCTGCATGGGGTCACCTATGTGTGCTCCTTCAGGGCAGGGCTCAACGTTGGCTCAAAATGGTCTTCAAGCTTATGATGAGGAGGTGGAGAAGCACCTGGAGGCTCGAATATGCAAATAATAAATGTAGGTGTTAACATATTCAGAAGGAGTCCAGAGACAGTTGTTCCTGCTGACTCTCCAATTCTGCTTGCAAACGGGATGATGAGTACCACAGAAAGGGATGGGGTTGGGAGAACAGAGACCAGATATAATGTCTTATTGGGACTCAAATGCCAGGCATGTCTCTGCTCCAGCCTCTAGGAAGAAGTCTGTGTCCTGACCACTCATCAGGAAGACTCAGGTGATCGCAGGGCCTTCCATTTGACTGCATGCTCTGCCCCTCAACTCCAAACACCTGCAACACAGGAGTCACCCTAACTCGCTTTCCCATTTCCCCAGGCATCCTTCCTCTTTCCTCCACCCGTCGTGGACATTGTCACTGCTCACTGCTCCTTCTGGGTTCTCCCTTCCCCAATACCTGTCTGACCAGAAAAAAATAAAGAATGGAAAATAGGTCAAATAAAATCTCTTGTTTAGAGAGATTTTTATAAAATCTTACTAGATGCGTCTTTTTCTATCACTTCTCTTAAAAACAAGCTCCCTGAAGATACCATGTCCTGGCCTTTTGATAAAAATGTGTCATTTTCAATAAGCCACATAACTAAATTATTCTTTTTACAGTCTTCACCCAACCCAGAAATCCAGATTCTGGGCCAATAATCATCTCATTTACTGACAGTCTGTTGCATTTACTGGAAGAAGGACTCCAGCGAATTAGGAACTTCAGGACCCCTGGGAGAACAGAGCGATCGATGTTCCTTCTAGCATTCTCTTTATGCTGACAAAATAGTAAAGGATCAAGGCTCATTGACTACCTAAGTATTCACCTGCTATATACCACGGTCTCATATGACAGCCCCTCTAGTACCCTGGTGGTGTGATAACATAATGCTATTTCTTAATTTTCCTTAAAAATTCAATACACAACATCCTCTACAACATTTCCCTTGGTCTGTGGATTCTGTTGTGTATAATTGAGAACAATACACAGTTATTAGTGCTAAGTTTAAAGCGCATGTTTAGCCCTAGAAGCCTTTTTGTCTGATGAAAATCTTGGGATTTGTATAATTACTATAATTCTGTGACTTAAAACATCTCAGCTTTGGTATTCAGGCACCTTGCTGTTTTTAATGAAATCTCTCTGATAAACTCATTATATCCAAGTATTGAATTACTAGTGAAGACATGTTATCACATTATTCTGCCACTTTAAAGGCTTTTACTTTAAATGAGTTGTTAAAAACAAAATAAACAAATCAAAAAACAAAAATGAAATGCTCAACACAATTTGCTGCAGAAACAAAGTATACAATCTTTCTAGCAAATTTTTTAATGGGATACTTGCAATTTGCATAATAAATTGAAATCATGTTGGTTAATTGAAGCAATGTATTAAAGCTACAGAAACTTAAAACTGCACAATAATTATTTTGTTCTGTTCCATAAGGCTCTTTAAAGTCTAGTCTGGGTTTTGAAATTCACTAGTATAAATTTCAAAGTTATTTAATATTGCATTCTTCAGGATGCAAAAGGAGGAAAAAAGCCGATTTAGAAAGAAATGACATTTTTAAAACAAACAGTAAAAAGCCACAAAAATTACTACCAAAGCAGTAGTAATTTCTCCTTTTAAATGTCAGGAGCAGATACTACATGTCAGAAACAAAATTCTGCATCCTTTAACAGACAAAATGTTTTTCAATGAATCTAGCAGTCTAATCTATAGTCAAAATAGTAACAACTGGCCAGACTGTAGAGACTGGGGGAATCTGCTTGCTGAAGCAATAGCCTTATCCTTCGGGTCCCTGCCTCTATGGAAACTTAAGCTTTTTCATTTGGCAGCACAGAATGTCACTCTTAGTAGAGGGCACTTTACCAGCTCTACACATCTAGGAAAGGGCACCTCAACGAGATGTAACCAGACCACGCGAGTGGCTCAGCCACGAAGGTGCCGTGTCCTCTCTCCCTCTCTCAGAGGTGTTGGGAGAATTAAAGAGTTAGCATTTATAATGTATTTACAGACTTGCAGATAGAAAGCAATTACCAAGACTACTACAAGTTAGAGATGACAGTGACAGTAGAGCTCACGGGCTCGCGACAGCATTCCAGGTTTTTAAAACCTGGAAAAGGCACCCAGATTTTAGCCTAGCTCAGTCTTTGGGGGTGGTTGGGGACAGGGAAAGAGTGGCGAGCAAGAAGGATCCCCCTGTCAATAACCAATTTTAGGACGTTTGGGAGAAGAGAGATGCATATACCTTTTTTTTTTTTAATTATAGAAAATCCTTTGTGCTGATCGGATTCCTTGCCACTTGCATTTTTAAATGTCCATCTTTACTAATTGCTTTCCCCACTTCCTGTCCCTGGCCAAATCCCTGAGTATGGTTCTGTGACGCACCTTGCGTAAAACACTGGATTCATTGATTAGACTGAAGGGAACATCCAAACACAATAGTGTTGTTACAACTGTTACAATCTAGGTTAGAGGTTGCTTAGGATGTTACAGCACTTTGTGAACATTTAAGGCAGAGTCTGAAAGACAAGTGGGCCTGCCGAGGGGCCCAGCAATGGAGTGGGTTCCTCAGACTCCACGTGCAAGTTGTCTGACATCCCTGCCCTCCTGCCCAGGCCAGGAAGTATCCTGGCCGTCCCTCAGACCTCTGAATAGCACGGCAATGACTCAATAACGAGTCAAAGTCACAGTCTACTCCATCTAGGATACTGTTGTTATCCATCCTTACAACAAACGGTTATAAAACACCTCCTATGTTCCACATTCTAAGCACTGTGTAAGAAAGAACAAGAGAAGAAAAGATGAGCCAAGCACAAATTCCAACATCAGCAAGTTCATAAGCTTACTGAGGAATTAAGGCCTCTCAAATAACTGTAATATCAGCCCAAAGAGACAAATGCCATGAAAATAGATACAAAGTGTTACTGCCATGCTCCTACCTACTAAACATATCTGTATTGGGGGAGGAAGGCGGTTGAGAAGTATAAATCACCTTAAAGTGACAAACGTTTAAAATAAATGTTGGGCATCAACGGCATTTGTTAAAATAAGATGGGCAAGTGGCTACAGCTACTGTTTATCATTTCATCGTAGAGTGGAAGCTCTGAGAGGGTGAAGCTGGGACAGGTCTAAGTTTGTCCCAAATCTAACACTTAGCGAAAGTGGGGACAGTGGAAATTAGAATCTCTGGCTAGAGCAGAAGTAACCACAGCATGGATGCGTGCATCTCATTCTACAGCTCCTGGTGAACAGTCAGGTCACGAGAGCTGCACACTGAGACAGAGAGATGCTCATGGATCAGAGGACTCCAGGACAAGCCCTGCTGATGAAATGCTGTCAGGGTCAGCAGCAGGCAGAGGGACGGTGGCTTCATGGTGGGGCCAGGTCACACAGCACTGCGCATTACAATGACAAGCCTTGTGAGTGACAGAGAAAACCATTCAAGGAGTGGCAATAAAATCTACAAGACACCTCCACCTGGTGTGTAGGCACAGCCAAAAGGGATGATGGAGAGAAAAAAAAACCAAGCAGTGTCCAGTGGGTCAGGAAGGTATAGACCAAAGCCCAGCGCCGCCATGTGAGTGAGTCTATGCCACTCGGGCACACACAATCGGCTCTGTGATGGCAAGGGCACAAGCTAACCTTCAGTCACAGGTTTAGCTGTACTAACAGAACGTAAATTGAGGTTATATCTCCTGAATAAACATACTATCCTGAATGTGCATGGAAAAGCATCATGCAAGGATTCTTATTCAGAGTTTTTAAATGCCCTCAGAAATGCACATAAAGCCAACACTGTAAACCTGACTCAAATACACGGCTTCATTTAGAATTCCCCGCACCACAGCTGAACTCCTGTGTGCAGGGTGAGGCAGTCAGCTTCCACCAGGGCCCTCAGGATCCCGCCTCCTAGTTTTCACATCCCTCAGTGTTTGCCTCCCACACTGTCCTGGGGGGTCGGTGTGAGTGACCAACATCCTATGGCAGAAGTGGGAAAAAATGCTACAAAACTCAACAGAAGACAGACAGAAGCCACTGAAAGATCCTGAACTTCTTAGCCCTACTCCCAGTATACATTATGTTTACAGACTTTTCTTCCCAATTTTCTTTTCCATCTGCCTTCTCTTAAAGGAAATGAGTATATGCAACCAACTCCTGCAACGGCTTTGTGGACTCCACCGTAATCTGCCTCTTGTACACACTGAAGTGGTTTAGGGCAGAGTACTTTCAAAGAAGTTAAAATAGGTGGAAAATGAGAACAGCAAGAGCTCATAATCTCCCTAAGCCACATCTACCTGGAAGCTTTGGGGCAGGGCTTCTCAGATGGCACGGACCTTTCTAGAACTCAGGTTTCTTTCTTTTTGATCAGGGTAACACTGGTTAAAAACACTACACAAATTTCAGGTGTACAACTTCACAATATGACACCTGTATCCCCTATTATCAGGTTCCTTTTTCTGCGGCGTGTTGAGTCAGCATGTGCTCCTGTGCCAAGTGCTCATCGGCATATGCTGAAAGACAGGAAACAGCTCCAAACCCTCCTTTGTT